AAAAAAAAAAAAAAAAAAAAAAAAAAAAATCTAATTAAAATTCAACTCAACTTTTACTAAAAAAAAATTAATTATTTTTATCCAGTTACTTTTTTTTTTAATAAAAATCTAACTCAACTTTAAACAAACCTCACTATTCTAAATATAATTAATATAATTTAATAATATCAATCAGTCATTATTATACAGTACATCACTTTAATTCACTACTATCTGATTACATAATTTTAATTAACCACCACTTCAAATTATCTTTCTCTTACTTTTACATCACATCAATTTTAATTATTTTATTTTAAATACTCTCCTTTCTTTAATAAGTGTCTTTTTGAGAGGTTGTACGGTAATTAAGAATCTTTTTTTCCAATAATAACTCTCATTAATGAGGATATAGATGGATGTTTTGAGAAAAGATGATGAATGAATATGAAAAAACATCGTATATTTATTAGCTAGATGAGAGTAATAATGGAACAATATGTACAAAAAGATCCAAAACGTCATTTATTTGGTTAATTGTTGATAACTGAAATGACATTTAAAAAAAAAATAAGAGGTAGTATTATTTTAATATAAATTCAAAATTTCACTAACAACTAACCATACTTGTTTTTTCAAAATTAACAATAGTAAACCAAAAAATCTAAACAAAACCAAACTAATTTATATCCGAACATCCTCTAAAGACCTTTTTAAAACTTCTTGTGATCTATGTAATTTTAGAATAAACGAGTCAAGCGTAACCCTAACTCAGACAATGAAGACACAACGGGGTCTAAAGCCCAATACAGCTACAGTTGGGCTTGGGCTATAATACCCTTTGGACTATGAATCTAAAAATTATGGAACCCATGTGAATCTATGCCAACTTCCAATTTAGTCCTTATATTTAATTTGGGCCCAATTTCTTCATGTACACGGTGATTGTTTAGGCTATGTGTGGTAAAAAGCGTTAGCTGATAGCTGATAAGCTAATTTACAGCTTATAAATATTTTTCGAGCTTATAGCTTATACTTTATGACTTACAAATAAAAAACTAGCTTATATGATAAAAGTGTTTGGTTACCAAATATAACGGAATCTATATATATATATAAAAAGAATTACCATTTTTTAAAAATGGCAAGTCAAACTGTGGTTAAATATGGTTGAGCATTAATTATATGCTATTAATAGCAAGTTTTTATTTTATTTTTTTATTTACACATATGCATCATTAATTGTTGCATTTAAATGTGGAGTTTGTTAAGTGAAGTTTGTTACTTATTTTTGCTCAAGATTAGGCTGTTCCTTTTTCATTTTCACAAACTTTAAAAAGAAACTTTCTTTAACATATAATTGTGTACCACATTGCAAATTTTATTTTATTAAAAAAAAAATTACGCCTAACTTAATAATATAAACATAAGTTAGTATTTACAAAAAATCAGAAACTCTTTTTAACATCAACTCGGCTACTACAATTGTTTTAATCGGATAATTTTATTTTTAAATAAAATAAACTACTGTTCATTTAATAATCAAAATATACAATATTTTTATTCTATTCTTTTTATATTTTTTTATATATAAAAATAACACAAAACTAATCTAATTATGAAATCGTCAACATTTTATTTGCGCAAGAACGGGTTGTAACATTTTAATTTTCACAAATTAAAGAATTTTTTTAACAGAAATAATATTACCAAATTGCATTATTTTTTTTATATAAAGAAATTACGACTGATTAAGTAATAAAAAAACTTTAGTATTTGCAAATAATTTGAAGCCTTTTGAACAACAAATCGGCTAATACCATTAAATTAATGAATTCTTTATTTTTTTTAAAAATATCAATTCCTAAAGTTGCTGTTGATTTAATTTCCAAAAAGAGATTCTTTTGATAACAAAAAATCGTGAATCACATTGCAGCCTAGATTAGTGGATTTGGTTCCATTAAATTCCAGAAATTTCGATCATTGAATATAATTTGAAATCCAAAATCCTTTCTCATTTTGATTTAAAAAATTCGATTGTGTTTTTTTATTCCAAACAATCAAATTGCCGAAAAAATTACCTTCTTGAATTGAAAATTTGAAATTCAAAATCACTTCTCATTTCAGTTGCTATAAAATTGGGCTTAGTTCAAAATCTCTTCCTAATATAAAGGATTTTGTTCAAATTGAACAAAAAAATCTAATCATATGCTTCTATCTTTGGACGAATAACCTTAATGAAGGATTATGTGCCACCTTAAAAATTAACAAACCTCTTGGAAATTACAAAATCATAACAAATTTCAAAATTTTTGGTTTCATTTTGCACGAAATTCAAAATGGTTTAAAAATTTCAAATCAATTGAAATTCATCTCTTTATTTTTTTTTTTCCATAAGTTTAAAAAATTTACAATAATTAAGTCAAATTACAAATGTATTGTTTCAAAAATCAAGAGGATAGTTTTGAAAATAGACTTTTTTTTTTTTAAAATCGTCTTAGTCTTCATTTAATATAAAATAAAGCTACTATGTTAGGAGATTTTAATTGTTTAAACATACAAATTTTATGTTCTCTTGAACAAGCTAATTTTATATCGTTTATAATAAAATGATATACCATAAATTATATGACATGTTAACCCTACATCGTTAACTTATAATTAATATTTAATATCGTTTACTCTCATCTTTATTTTTTCTTGCTCTGCATTGGGTGACTCGAACTCGATACTTATTTGTAATAAATATTTAATATTGTTTACCCGTGCATCGCACGGGATACACACTAGTCATAAGAATGCAAATGGAGGAAAGAACTGCTACAGCAGGAGCAAATCTAGCACAAAAAATCCACCATATTTCATATCTGCATCGATATGTTGCTCAAGCACCACACTGATAAACTCAGAATACAAAATAGCTTCAAAATATCACTTCAAACAAGTACTTCAGACAGTGAAAAATGACAGAAGGTTCACTTCCAAATCAACTGAGAATAGACAAACTCAGTGAAACAATACTTAACTCAGAATTCTTGCTTCCAATACCGATCACAATTAAACAACAGTTCAGAGTTCAAACACTTATTATTCACCCGCAATTTATTCACGAAAAAAAAAACAAACAAACAAACATAAAAAAGCCCAACCTTTTTCAGTTACCGATATTTTTCGCAATCTTGAACCACTCGGTGTGGAATGACCCGGGCACATCCACACGCTCGTACGTGTGTGCCCCGAAATAATCCCTCTGTGCCTGCACCAAATTAGCCGGCAACCTCTCCCTTCTGTACGTATCGAAATAAGCAAGGCTAGCAGACATACCAGGCGTGCTAATGCCCGAGTTGATGGCTAAACAAACGACCCTCCTCCAAGCCGCTTGCCTCTCGATAATCTCCTTTGCAAACTCTGGGTCCACCAGCAGGTTCGCAAGATCCGGGTTCCTGTCATAGGCCCGTTTGATACGGTCCAAGAAAATGGCCCGAATAATACATCCCCCTTTCCAAATCCGGGCCAATTCCCCCAGCTTCAAGTCCCAGCCTTTTTCGATACTCTTTGCACGTATCAAATTCATCCCCTGCGCGTAACTGCAGATTTTCGATGCGTAAAGTGCTTGCCTCACATCATGAACCAACTGTTCCTTGTCGACTGGCTGGTCGGTCAAAATATCTCCAAAACCGCCCGATTTAAAAACCTTAGCAGCCTCGATTCTTTCCTCCTTCAGCCCACTCAAGAATCTCGAATCCAACGAGGCCTCGATCGTGGGGGCAGCAACCGATAACTCGGCCGCTTGCTGCACGGTCCACTTCCCGGTGCCCTTCATCCCGGTTTTGTCGAGTACCTTGTCGACCAAAAAACCGTCCGCTTTATCATCCTTGATCCCGAAAATATCGGCCGTTATTTCGATCAAGAAGCTCTGCAGCTCCCCTCTGTTCCACTCGGAGAAAACGGCTCTCAGCTCGTCATTCGAGAGCTTCCCAACAGATTTCAAAACGTCGTACGCCTCGGCAATCAGCTGCATGTCCCCATATTCGATCCCGTTGTGGATCATTTTCACGAAATTACCCGACCCGCCTTTCCCGACGTAGGTCACGCAAGGCCCACTATCGGGAACTTGGGCTGCCACTTTTACAATGATGTCCTCGATGTATTTGTAAGCCTCGTGGGACCCACCGGGCATGAGTGAGGGCCCGTTTCGGGCACCTTCCTCGCCGCCCGAGACGCCCATCCCGAGGTACAACAGACCTTTGCTCAAGACGGCTTTCTCACGCCTCTCGGTGTTTTCGTACCACTCGTTGCCCCCATCGACGATGCAGTCGCCGGGCTCTAAGTAGGCCGAGAGGGTCTCGATCGTCTGGTCGACGGGCGGGCCCGCCTTGACGAGCATGATGACGACGCGGGGCTTCTGGATCGACTTGACGAAGGATTCTGGGTCGTGGAAGCCGAGGACGGGGAGGTTGCCCTCGGCCTTGGCCCGCTCGACGGTCTCGTCGACTTTGGATGTGGTCCGGTTGTAGACGGAGATGGGGAAGCCTTTCTCGGCGATGTTGAGGGCTAAATTCTGGCCCATGACGGCGAGGCCCGCGAGCCCGATTCTGGTCAGCTTCTTCGGGGATTGCTCAGCCATTTTTTTTGTATCTCCTGGTAAAGATGGAACGATTAGTTCTCGGTTACGATCTGTAACAATGCAAATCATAGAATCGTAATATTGCCGAAATGAAACATTTGCTTGCTAGATCCATGACAGTCAACTATGATGGTAATAATAATAATCATATAATGCAAGTGCACAGATTTAATTTGCAATAAAGAAGTAGGGAGAATCTGGATCTTCAAACATAGATAAGATCGAAACAAGATAAAACAGTAACTTTAACTCTCAGATCAAACAGTACATGATCCTCTGCTTGTTTGTCATATTGTTCCAAACACAGCTAAACAGTAATTGCCAACGGAAACACACGAAAACTACTTGAATGAGATCGAGTTTGATCAGATCTCAAATGTAAGTCATAGTTCTTGTCATGACTCGTACATGACAAGCTCAGGTTCCTTCTTCAGCCCTTTCAAAGATCTCCAATCTTCATTAAATGCAGTAACTTTAATCGCATTTAGTTAATCCAATTGCGATAAAGAAAGGAGCTTCTCTATGAACCCATATGCAATTTACGCCGGGCAAACGACCAAAAAAATGTATGACGGGTTGACCAGAGTAACGGTTAAGCTGCCTCATACTAAAGAAGCAGAGATATTATCTAGATCTTTAGACATGATTCCAGAACAACATAAACATAAACAGTAACATTTAACTCTCAGATCAAACAGTAGATGATCCTGCTCGTGTGAAATATTGTTCAAACACTGCTAAAACAGCTATAGCCAAAGAAAACACATGAAAACTACCTAAATTTGAATCAAGTTAGATTAGATCTAAAATGTAAGTCATAGTTCTTATCGGACTCGGGACTCGTATATGACAAGCTCAAACTTCTTCATCATCCCTTTCTGAACACAGATTTGTAATCACCATTAAATACAACAGCCTTAAATCACTTTTAATTATTCTGATCTCGACAAAGAATGAAGCTTCTCTATGAACCCATATGCAATTTACACCAGACAAACGATCCAAAAGAAAAAAAAAAATCAAAATTTATTGACAATAAGGACAAATCTTAATCTTCTGCTCCGAAAAATGAAACAATACATAAACGAAGTTAGGGAAAAACAGAGGAGGAGAAAAGGCACAAACCTTAATCTTCTGCTTCGATGAAATTAATGTAGCAAGAGATGAACTGAACGCGAGAGCAGACCTAAAGCAGCAGATATGTATTAGTAGGTTCAGCTAACTGCGAATTAATTAGAGCATACAGCAAGAAGAAGAATGAATTGGAAACGAGTAAATACAAAGGAATTTTGCACTACGAGCTTACCAGTTCTGATTGGCGGGTCAAAATTAGGCAACTTTCTTGGTTTCGCACTGGTATTTGTTCTTGATTGGGGGATGTTAGGTTGGCTGGGTTGGTGAAAAAGAGCTGATGACGTCACCCGGGTCGGATACAGATTTCTCTCCGGGTTATGATCGAATTTGCCAAAAAGATCTTCTTTCTTCTTCTTTAGTTTCCTCCATTGAATCATGTCGGGTTGGTAATCCTTAGATTGGATATTTTTTATGATTACATGATAATCTAATGGTTACAACCTAACGAAATAGTTGCGTAACGGGACTATAGCATCTCTCCTTAATATTAACCATAAATTTGCATCTATATATAATTTTCAAGGGAAAAAATCTTTTTTCAACCCATAACACCGCCCAATGAAAAGCTAAGTTTTTCACCCCAAAAAGTGCGAAGGTTATGCGAAAACTGTCGCATATTCATCGCATAACTGTCCATATGCGAAGATTATGCGAAAAACTGTCGCATAACTGTCGCATATCAATTGCATAACTGTCGCATATTAATCGCACAATGCCTTCGCACAGTTATGCAATTGATATGCCACAGTTATACGACAGTTTTTCGCATAACCTTCGCATATAGACAGTTATGCGATGAATATGCGACAGTTTTCGCATGACCTTCGCACAGTTATGCAATTGATATGCGACAGTTATGCGACAATTTTTCGCATAACCTTCGCATATGGACAGTTATGCGATGAATATGCGACAATTTTCGCATAACCTTCGCACTTTCCGGCGTGAAAAACTTAACTTTTTATTGGGCGGTGTGAAAAACTTAACAAGACTTCAAAACGAGGTGAAAATAGATATTTTCACTGCCCATTTCAGTTTGTGTGCCTAAAAGGTCTCTAACAAAATATTATATGGGAGGTAGACTTAGTCTATAAAAAAAATATTTCCCAATGCAATTAAATGGGACATAGTCTATCTTATGTGACAATAATAATAAAAAAAAAAAGATCATATCTACTCTTGAGCTTATTATGAACCCCAGTACAAACTTGAACAATCAACATTTATTCATAATATAAATTTTCTTTGAATATGGTAAATGTATTAGAGCATTTTTATAGTTGACAAATATTCTAGACCTACTATTTTATTTTTGTAGTGAATAGCTTTTGGGTTTTATTTACTTGGGTTTGTTCGTGTCATTCAAGACTTAAGTCAATTTATATGCCACATATGTAAAATTAGACTCAATTCGGGTGCTGACTCACACGTTTTGAGATCCAATGCGGTAAATTTTTTAAGCTTTGTTGTTTAGATTATATGAATTTTTATTTAGTTTTAATCCAAAAGTAGTTGGACTTGGAATATCTATATATATATAAAAAGAATTACCATTTTTTAAAAATGGCAAGTCAAACTGTGGTCAAATATGGTTGAGCATTAATTACATGCTATTAATAGCAAGTTTTTATTTTATTTTTTTATTTACACATATGCATCATTAATTGTTGCATTTAAATGTGGAGTTTGTTAAGTGAAGTTTGTTACTTATTTTTGCTCAAGATTAGGCTGTTCCTTTTTCATTTTCACAAACTTAAAAAAAAAAAAACTTTCTTTAACATATAATTGTGTACCACATTGCAAATTTTATTTTATTAAAAAAAAATACGCCTAACTTAACAATATAAACATAAGTTAGTATTTACAAAAAATCAGAAACTCTTTTTAACATCAACTCGGCTACTACAATTGTTTTAATCGGATAATTTTATTTTTAAATAAAATAAACTACTGTTCATTTAATAATCAAAAATACAATATTTTTATTCTATTCTTTTTATATTTTTTTATATATAAAAATAACACAAAACTAATCTAATTATGAAATCGTCAACATTTTATTTGCGCAAGAACGGGTTGTAACATTTTCATTTTCACAAATTAAAGAATTTTTTTAACAGAAATAAGATTACCAAATTGCATTATTTTTTTTATATAAAGAAATTACGACTGATTAAGTAATAAAAAAAAACTTTAGTATTTGCAAATAATTTGAAGCCTTTTGAACATGAAATCGGCTAATACCATTAAATTAATGAATTCTTTATTTTTTTAAAAATACTAATTCCTAAAGTTGCGGTTGATTAAATTTCCAAAAAGAAATTCTTTTGATAACAGAAAATCGTGAATCACATTGCAACCTAGATTGGTGGATTTGGTTCCATTAAATTCCAGAAATTTCGATCATTGAATATAATTTGAAATCCAAAATCCTTTCTCATTTTGATTTAAAAAATTCGATTGTGTTTTTTTATTCCAAACAATCAGATTGCCGAAAAAATTACCTTCTTGAATTGAAAATTTGAAATTCAAAATCACTTTTCATTTCAGTTGCTATAAAATTGGGCTTAGTTCAAAATCTCTTCCTAATATAAAGGATTTTGTTCAAATTGAACAAAAAAATCTAATCATATGCTTCTATCTTTGGACGAATAACCTTAATGAAGGATTATGTGCCACCTTAAAAATTAACAAACCTCTTGGAAATTACAAAATCATAACAAATTTCAAAATTTTTGGTTTCATTTTGCACGAAATTCAAAATGGTTTAAGAAATTTCAAATCAATTGAAATTCATCTCTTTAATTTTTTTTTTTCCATAAGTTTAAAAAAAATACAATAATTAAGTCAAATTACAAATGTATTGTTTCAAAAATCAAGAGGATAGTTTTGAAAATAGACTTTTTTTTTTTTTTT